GGAATCACAAGGCAAATATTTTTCTATGGCAAAAGAAAAAAAATATGCAAGTAGAAGCTGCTAATCCCTAAAGCCTCTGAGTGAAGAAATCTGTGAGAAAGAAATTAATAGCTTTCTAAGTGTGGCTTGAAAATTGAATTAATAAAATGTACCCCTTTTAAGCCACTATAATTATAAAGGTTTTATTTTTCAAAATTTTGGCCCATAAATTAAAAAATAAACAAAAGTCAGAGGCAAAACACATAAATTTCCATGGCAGAATCTTACAAGATGTTATGCCTTAGGTCCTTGGCATTAGTGAGGAAGCGGCAGCAGGTGTGATCCTCCTCCATTTCTTCTATTACATTTCTTAATAATTTTAACCCTGCCCCTTTCTTCAGTTTCCAGGATCTGGAGGATAAAGTTCCTACTGAATTTGGACCTTTTCCTGCCCCACTTCTGCAAACACACACTCTTACTAACTCTGACCCAGAATTTTTTAAGTGTCATTGATTATTCTAATGTCATTTTCAGAACCTGCAGCACATCAGAAGATTGCCCTTATAGAATGAGTTGTGTCACACACAGAGAGATAAGGTTTTCTTTTTCAAATAGCTGCCTCTGCTATAACATTGAGTGAGTAACAGAAACATGCCCAGCTTCTGAGACCTTGGGAAATAACAGATATTTTAGGTTTTAAACTTGAACATTCTATAGTACAGTGGCAGCACAAACATTCTTCAGACAAAATACTTGTTTATATTGCATTAATAGTGTTCTCTCTGAGGGGACGGATTATATATGATCTTTTATTTTTTCTTTATAGTTTCATATATTTTCAAACTCTTCCATTTCAAAAATAAGACATTTGTGTTCAAGTAAATACTCTGGAATTAGAACAACTATGCAAACAGCAAAAGTTCCCCAAACTCTACGTTACCTACATGTGAACACAAATGAGAAAAGTTATCAAAAGTCAAGATTCAAAGCACTGGAAGTCAATTCTTTTCCTTATGGATGTGTTGTCCCTCACTTCGTGTCCCAGATAGAACTCAAAGAAAGCAAAAATGCCAAGATTTTTCATACATAAAGATATGAAAATTTCCTAAGATAACGAGGGAGTTCCCAAACTATAAATTCTAGAGTTTCCAATGAAGCATCTTTCATCTTTGCAACACTCACTTTAATTTTTTCAGGGAAGTGGATGGGAGGAAGGGGAGAGAGAGAGACAACGAAAGATAAAAAAATCATGCCACTTAGAGATAAGAGTAAGAGATAATAATAAAAGGTAAGAGGAAGAATAAATCTTCTGGGCTTTAAACAAAAAAGAAACGGGTTTTCACTGGTTAAAGTCTACAGTTTTATTCATCATAAAGGTATTTTAAAATGAAGCTCGTCCCTCCAGAAAATGTTCTCCCTACCAGGATTTGGGAAAGAATGCAAGGACCTCCTAGCCCCGTGTGGCTCTTCAAATAACTGTGAATTCCCAACAATAATCTTGCCTTTGGGTTCAGGCATTGTAATTTGAAAAAGAAAACAGAAGCTCCCCTCTCTAGACTCTGAGCTGGGATAATACTTGAGGTATTAATTGATTAATTGAGTCTCTCATTCATTTATTTATTGATGCATTCAAGTATTTGTTTAACAAATCAACTGGATCCTTCTTCTGTGCTAGAGAAATACCAAGCTGAGGATACAGTAGTGAACAAGGCAGACATATCGTCTATGCCAATAAGAGAGGCTGAATCAAAGTTTTTAATGTGCAGGCTAATGTGGCTGGATGTAATGAATCTGAAAGTCAAAAATCAAGGACAGATTAGCTTAAATAAATGTCTTAAGACACTTCCCTTTCCTAATATTAGATTATTTCCCCATTGCCTTCTTCTACCACCTCATCAGGAGCTAAAATCCAAGCATATGATGATAGAGCTCTTAGAGAAAGCCTAGAATATTATCTACACTAGAATTGCCCAATGTTGGGTTTTGCATTGCTTCAGTCGATTTAGCTTTCTCTATTATACCCTGTACCTTCACTGCCATGCTTACTTGTTAAGTGTATTTGCTGAAGCAAGATTAATAAGTAGTTACAAGTTTTCCTGAAGGGCATAAAAATCATACATTTCAGGTTATATTTGAAGCATAGTGCCCTGGAAATCTCTGCAAAAATAATATCCTTGACAATGCAGTTTGATTCACAAGATTGCATTATCACTAGAAAAGTAACAATAATTTTCAGGTGTTAAATGTCAAAAAAAATCTGTCTGTAACAAGAGAAAAGTCCCCTCTTGAAGAGTAATATTTCATGCCTGGTCTTACACTGAAAAAGAAAAAAAAAGTGTTTACTTCTTTCTCCCACTATTGCCACCTCGTGGACAAAGATGATTCATTTGGACAGCATGTAGGAGCAAGTCTTAGTATTGCCACAAGATGGCAACATATGACCAAGTTTGCAAAAAGGCTCAGCATGTTCTGTTCCTAAAGAAGGTGATGAGCAGGAAGTAGTCCAAAATAATCAGTCTATTCTATTTTCCTCAAGACAAATGGAATTCCACGTGTTAAAATCTTTAGGGCTTCACAAAGAGGTTGATTTATTACGGGCACAGGGAGGAGTACCTAAAATTTAACTGGCGACTTGTTTTGCTTTTTAAAGATATTTCAAGCAAGTGTATATTTTATATCTGAATTTTTCTGATATTAGCTTCACAGAGTTGAATATTTGGGAGTTTTTATATGCTTTTGTAATCAACTTTCTCTACTTAATTCATAGGGAGCATCGGTTCCCTAAGGGACCCATTGGAACATATAGATTCTTACGCACACCTATGTCAGTGGCAGGGTAATGCGGGCACATTGCTAGACTTTTCCTGATCAAAATGTGCCCTAATCAGTCCACTTTCCTATCACTTTTTTTGGGCTAAAATCTCACAGTGTTTGTTCATCACATTGCTGCAATCATATATGTATATAAATTATTTGGACTTGTAATCCCATGACTTACGTGTTAAGCTGTATTTTTCACTCTCCGCAAAATTGCACTAATAATCCTTTCTAGAAGGGATTTTACCAAAAAACTGACAATAACTTTTATTTATTGAGCATTTATTATATGTCTGGCACCATTAAGTTTAGTATGTTTATTAATTGATCTAATTCATAGCACAAATTTATAAGGTGCATGTAAGTGAACTCATTTTAGAGATGACGGAACTAACGCAAAGAGAAAGTAAGAGAAAGCTTTTGGCAGAATCGCTGAGCTTCCTACCTATCCGGATTTCTGAACAATTGTTTGAAATTATTCCCACGAAGCCTGTGTACCAGAAACTCAGTGTTCTTTAACCGAAGATGGCCCCATTGAGGCCTCGATGAGTAAAGAGCTTCACTCTGTGGCCTCAAGGGGTTCTTACAAATTCTCACCGTTAAGAGGCTTGATGCAAGAAAGAAGGAAAGTTGCACTTTGCATGAGAGTCGCACTTTTCCAGCCAGTAATGAATCATTTAAATATTCCAGTGATACCTCTTGAGTCATACAAGCATTGCTTTCATAAAAGCTGCCAAAGGGGTGTTGTGGAATAATGGACTAGACTCTGTCTGGAGAATTGGAAGCCCTAAGTTTCAGTCCCAGCTTTGCCTCTCACTTTGCAAAGTACCTCTCTGGGTTTCAGTTTCCTCATGCTATCATGAGCACATTCTCCACACTGCCTTTCAGTATTTTTTAATGCAATATGTTGATTCCAAAGAAAAGGTGTCAAAGCTGGCCTTATGAAAGGAGACAAGTGGCAGTATGTTTAATACACAACTTAAAACATCAGTGGCCAGATGATGAGACAGATAAAGTCGTCAACAGCTAGAGACCATTGTTTCACATATTAATAGAACCTGGCTTCACTTCCAGGGTGAGTGCTGGCTTCTGCTAGGAGAGGAGAATTCTTAATCCATCTTTCTGTATGAACTTGCAGCATGCTGCAATTGTTAAACGGAAATAACTGCAAATGATGGGCCTCAAGGACAAAAATACAGGTGCTGTATTCCACAGGACAGACTGTGCTCTTCTATCTGACCAGCCACTGAGTTGGTCCTGAGCCTCAGAGTGGTATCCTATAGAAATTTCCTATATTTGCTTCTAAAGACATAAGAGCATTGTGGTTTACTTGATAAAGATACTTAAAAGAGAAACCAAATATTTAACCTACATGAGCTCTTCTGACCCTGAGACTTATTTACAAATTAAACAAATATTTATTAAATACCCACCACCTGCCAAGCTCTAATCTAAGCACTAGGGATACAGTACTTGAGAAGGAATACACTGTTGCTGCCCTCACAGAGCATATATTCTAATGGAGAAGACAAACTATAAACAAGCAAAAATTATACTCATGACAACCTCAGGTTAGAGGTAAGTGCTATTTAGATTAGTAAAGTAGGGTAAAGGAATAGAGAAAATAACAAAAGTTGCTATTTTTAACAAGATGATGAGAGGAGTCCTTTCTGAGTTGGTGACATTTCGGCAGAAATCTGAATGAAGTGACTCAGCGATCAGTAGAAAGATCTAGGGGAAGAATATTACAAGCAAATGTGAAGGTCTTAAGTTGGAATAGACTTGATCTATTGGAAGAAGAGCAGGACAACCAGCTGGCTTGAGAGGAATAAACCACAACAAAAGGGTGGGAGGAGACTGTGGATCAGATACATTCTATTATTCCACTAAATTGCAGTCAAGAGTACCTTTACATTCCATGCTCAGAGCTCTTGAACTTGTCTACATGCATACCATGTAGCATCGGATATCTGTAGCTGCAAATCATTTTTGCTACCTCCAACCGCACATTTGTTCGAACAAAACAATCTCTTTCCATTTGCTTTCTTTCTCTGTCTACCAATATTATTTCCTATTAAACTGTTCTTTCTTCCTTTTCTCTTATTCTCCTTTCAGTGGAGAGTATCAGACCTACCTTTGTGTTTCTTCTTAACTGATAAAGATTTTTTATTTGTTTTTGTTTTGCTTAATGTTTCTTATTTTAGAAATTGGTACCACCGTGCACTTCAAGCAAAAAGGTATGGTTTTTATTTTTGGTTACCTTCCATATGTCAAAATTAAGATTTCACAGCAATATATTGTTGTCTTGTATAATTGAATTTCAGTGGAATGATTTGTGCTAACAATTTCCATAACACATCTGGCTTTATTTTTTTCCAAATTGTGAACTTCTCATTTACAAAAAGTTTCTGATCCAACCATGACCCTCATATTGCTCTTGACAGTAATTTATTGTTAAATCCCTGGAACAGAGCAAGTTATGCTTTGCCCTGCTCTCTGTTCCTACTTTCCCTTTCTTATATATTCATGGTTCATTCTGACAGAGATGAAATTTTGAAAATGCTCACTGCCCAGTGACAGGGCTCTCAGAAGAGATGCAGAGTCTACTTTACATTCACTTGTTGGCTTTGTAAAACAGACCCTAAACTGCAAGTAGCTACTAATTCTGAGGTGCCCTCTTTATAAGTCCAATAAACATAGTTTCTAACAGTGTCTATCCCAGATCAGAGCCACAGAGGCACCTATGTGGCCAAACCCCACCCTCTTTACTTCCTCATGGTTACCTACCTGATTTTAATTGGCTCATATGAAGGCATCTTCCTCTCTGAGTCTCAAAGTGGTGAGACAACCACAATCACTCTGAATTGTGAAAACCTATTCTTATGGGACTTACGTACCAGCAGTGATCAAGAGCTAATGAGATTATGGACACTTGGTTGCTTACTCCCAAGAAAGGGCCAGCACCATTTATGGCCAGCACTAGCAGGTCCTCACTGAAGGCAGCAGGGAAGAGGCAGCCATGAATATATATACCCGGGAACAGGATCATCTGAGGCCTTCAAGAAGGCATAAAACATTGTCCTTTTCAGCCCTTCTTCTCTTCCCAATGCCATGATTACCAATTATGTTTTAATTTTAAGTGTCTCATATCATATGTGATACATTATGGCTTTGATATGTGGATGAAGAAATAGGGCATAGCATTTTTGTTTCATTTCAAAGACAATATAAATTGCCAGTGTCACCAGAAGTGCTATGTATTGGACTAAAATTTCAAAAATTTGTATGCCAAAACACTTGATGCTGTGTTGATGAAAAAGATGCAATGATTCTGACTTTACTGTGAGAGTATGTCAGCCTTACCAAAACCTCACTTTATTAGGAATCAAAAAAATGCATAAAGAGCTAAAGAAAATGTAGGATGAGCTCAGATTCTATTGAGTCTAAGACCCATTACTCAAAGAATACATCGATATAGTAGTTCCCCCTTATCCGCAGGGGATATGGCCCCAGGACCCCAATGGATGCCCGAAACTGCAGATAGTACAGAACCCTATCTATATGCACTATGTTTTTTTCTATACATACCTTTGATGAAGTTGAATTTATAAATCAGGCCCAGTAAGAGATTAACTACAATAATAATAAAACAACTCTAACAATATACTCTAATAAAAGTTATGTGAATGTCATCTCTCTCTTTCTCTCTCTCTCTGAATATCTTATTTTACTGTATGTACCTCAGGTAAGTGAAACAGCAGAACACAAAGCCACTGGTAAGGGAGGACTACGGCATTCACCCTCCTCTCCTTTGCTCCAGCCTTGGCTTTCATCCCCAGTTAATTCACCCAGAGGAAGCGGTACTGGCAGAAAATCGACAGCAGATGGCACCAAAGTCAATTTTATCGGGCTTCCCTTTAAACATGTCTTCCCAGGATACCAACATGCCTTAGTCGACTGGACTAGATGATATGGGAGGCAGATACTTAAGGGACTCTGTAGATTTGTGTTCTCCTTTGTTAAACAAGTGTTTTACAAATTGTTTAGCATTTTGTTATATTTTCAGTCACTCAGCCTTTAATAATTCTAAAATAATTCAAACTTTAACTCCTCTGGTTTTTTTTCGTATGGCTGAACTATGAATCGGAATGAAATTATGATTTACACTTCTTAGTGGCTGAAAGGAATATTCAAGAATCACTGAGAGCATAATTAATAGCCACTTTGAATAAATTTACTCCTAAATCCAAGAAATGGGTCCTCAGGAGGAGCAACAGAAAACTGTTGACCAGATTTGAATTACAAAGTGTCTCTAAGCAAACCTCTCTAAAACAGGTGTTGAAAAATCACGTGGTCTTTTCCTTGCGATTTTACTGAAATATAAATCAACTAGCTCCAGATCCTGAATCAAATTTGTAGTCTAGAGACTTGCCAAAAAATTATCATATCCCTCAATTTCAGAATGTTTTATCAATCTTGCCCTTAATCACAAGTTCCCTTTCATTGTTATAAGAAAGTGCAATCCGGCATTCACCTAGACAAAGAATCTCACTTATTCCACCTTGGGGTTAGGAACCTTGACCTGGTGTGTTGACTTATAATTTGCAGTCCTGCTGCAGCTGAATTTTGCTCCTTAGAGTCAACATTAAAAGCCTTGACCCAATACACAAACCAATGCCTTTGATTCAGGTTAGTATTTCATCTCTTTCTGTAATCCAAAATTCTGCACTTGGATTAATAATAATACAATTTACTGAATGCTTACCATATACACACTTATCAGTGGATGTGCACATATATAACACACATATCAAATGTGGTTAGATACTAAAATATGATTTTTGTTTGTTATATAAAAAAACACATAGCAAATTTTTGAATTGTGGTTCTATTTGCCCATCTATTCTTAAGGCTAATTTATGTTTGCAGACTCTTGCTTTCATTTTATCTGTCAGTATATGAAAGCACTTGCTGAGCCTGGCCATCTGGTGTGGGAAATAAGATTTATCATTTGCATTTCCACAAATAAGCAGAAATTTCATAACTCTGAAGTAAAACATAATTAATGATTTTGCTGATTATTCTTCCCTGAAATAGCCACTAACTGTAGTAGTTTCCTATGCAGTCACATATATCTATAATTGCAGACACACTTGTGATGATTTCCCAACTACCACCCATTTACCCTTGTATTTTTAAGCCTATTTATTTACCCACAAAACCAATTATGAAAAGTGTAAGTCATATAAGTACACTAAAGAGCTATAAGAGAGCACTTAATAATAATTGATAGAGATGAAGATATCTTTGATACACAAAATACATTTCAAATATATTTATACAGCACTTAATGACTGGGATACATTCTGAGAAATGCATTATTATGTGACTTCATTCTTGTGAACATCATAGAATATACTTACACAAACCTTGATGTTATAGCTTACTACATACCTAGTGTATATTGTATAGCCTATTCCTAGGCTGAAAACCCATAAGCATGTGACTATACAGAATACTATGGGCAGTGGTAAGTATTTGTGTATATAAGCATATCTAGACATAGCAAAGGTACAGTAAAAATGCAGTGCTGTAACTTTATAGGACCACGCTTGTATACATGGTTCATCTTTGACTGAAATGTCATATAGCATATGACTGTATATAATAATATTGTGAAAGATAATATTAAAGATTATTAACATCGTTATACTAAGATTCCCCATTATAACATAGAATAGCATGTGACAATAATAGTTAATTCTGAATTATGTGTAAAAGACCAGTAATATGTGTATATATCATATGTGTACATATAAGTATATAACATATATATCTTTGTATGTATGCATATGTATACATGTATTATCAAGAATGTTATATGTGAATATGTTTATCTAGGTTCATATATTCTGTAATGTATTTTTCAATGATAGAATTTTGACTTTCTTGAATACTTACTACTGTCAAATAAAATGATAAGACTAGTCTTAACCTTCCCAAGGTATCACTCAGCTCCAGGAGGTATGCAAGATAATCTAGCCTATCCTTGCACTAAAAATGAGATTAAGGAAATCAGTAGAATTGGACTCTAGCTGAAAACCTTTTGTTTTACACTATCCCTGCTGCAGACAAATATTTTTTGCCTAACCCTCTAAGGCTTTAATTTTTGTGTAGTTTTTCTCTGTTTTGAAAACCTCATTGATACCCAAATACAACCAAATATGCCAAGGAGCTCTTGCCATCTAGTGTACATAGAATGACTATAAGGTTAGAAAAATAATATTCCTACCAGCCCAGAAGCCCTGGGAGAAGTTTCCACTAAGAGAACTTGAAGGTCCCAACAGTCCAGAAAGGTTGGGAGTAGGAGACATGGAAGTGGATTAGGAAAGGCCTTGAGCTGACTTCAGACACTTGAATTTAAGTGCCTGGTCAACAATTACTAATTGGGTGCTTTCATGCAAGATAGAGAATCTCGTTGAACCTTAATTTCTCATGCAATGCATGAACCTGAAGGTAGCTAATATGTCTTTTGTCAATATGATCCTATCACAATTCAGAAAATTAGATAATTAATTCATTGAACCTTTATTCTGTGTTTCTATAGATTTACACAATACAGCTCATTTTACACTGTAACTATGCTGATAAAAGTTTGTGTATGTTCATATTTTTATATTAGGTGAATGTTTTTAATATTCTCAAGAAGATACTCTAGCCAAAACTCTCCTATCAAAAATCTTTTTTGCAATGATAATTGTTGTCTCCCTGTTTTTGTTTGTGCTGGCCATTTTAATCAAACCCAAGCTTAATTTACTGACCCAAATTTAATATACTGAATGTTGACAGGAGACTTACAGGCACCCCTTTCCTGTGTAGTAGTGACAGGCAAAGACTCTAGAGCCAGATGCCTGGGTAAAAACCCAGCTGCTCTGCTTACAAGTCTTGTAAATTTGTACAGTGCATCCAACCTCCCTGTGCCTCGATCAGTTCACTGTAAAACAGGTTTCATCATACTGTCTGCCTCCTGGCATAGCTGTGTGCTTATATTTATAAGGAAGTTATGACAAAATTGTGTAGTAAGTGCTGTATAATTGTTTGTGGTTCTGTTTTATTGTTGTTGTTGCTTTTCTTATTTACATAAAGCGTAGATTAGGAGATCACGGAATTTTGCATTTTTTCCTGTTGTCCTATCTCCAATTGGGTATGTTTGTAAACAGTTTTGGAAAAATTCACATACCAGGGGATGCTTCCATTATATCTGCAAACCATCATAGTTTCACACACACACACACACACAATCGAGCTGCATATCCACCCTCAAAATTTTGAAGTGACTGACAATTACAGTCACACCAGTTTCTCTTTTGAACATCACTGTTTAAGTATGTAGTCTTAAATCCAAAAGTCCCTGTAGTGAAAAATACTATTTTTTCACTTTAATGGGCTATGAGCAGAACTATAAAAAAGGAGAAAATGGAACAAGCAAAAAGCACAGGTGATCAGCTTTTCTGCCAGACCTATGATTCCCTCCTCCGTAATCCTTTCTATGAACACTCAAGCCCCTTCTCCAGCGGCTTTCTATCCATCCTGTTTCCCTTCTCACACCCACACCCACATCTCCCAAATTGCGTCCACTTGGGAAACCTAAGGTGGCAGCAGGAAACACGGAGTGCCATTCCAGGTTAATCTGGGTGACTTCAAATCTCAGTTCTGTTCGTGGTCTGGACCTGCCTCTGAACCTCTCTAGGTGTGTCTGTTTGTTTTTGTTTATGTTTATGTTTTTGATTTTTAAAGTGACAAATGAAGAGTTTGGAGGAGTTGATCCTCTGCTGCCTCTTAAGATTTTTAGATGTATTGACTTATTTTCTTCCTTGCTAAGGTACCATCTAGCCATAAACGTTACTTTAAAAGAGTTCTCCTCCCCATTAGCAAATAAGTAATTACTACCTCTCGCTGGGGACACAAGGAGTCCTGGATGGTTCCATGCTTTATTGGTGGAGATGCTGTGATGAATTGGCCGGAAGACCCATGTCTGGCTGCTGAAGGACCCTCACCAATGCTTGGAACCTTAATGAGTGCTGGCACCAGAGGGCTACTTAGGGCAGGGCCAACAGGAGGAGGCTGGGTAAACAGGAGCCTCCTGCACCATCAGACACGTTGGTGATAGCCAATTTAAGGACTTATGTGGCAAGAGCATTTTGTATTTAGAAGTATTTCAACCAATGATAACCCTTAGGATACTTGTGGCCCAGGGAGGAGAAGGATTTAGAAAGGTTTTGAGCCTTTCCTGGCTGCACATAAGTGCACTAACTTTGAGACGCTGGTATCCGCCCGCGTCTTACCTCTGATACCATTAGCAGTCAGCTGTAACACAGAGTGGGCCCATGTAACTCATTCTCTTTTCTCTCTCTCCTGTTTTGCTCTGCAGGACCTGGGTCGGTGAGAGGAATAAATGGATCCATCAGTCTGGCCGTACCACTGTGGCTGCTGGCAGCATCTCTGCTCTGCCTTCTCAGCAAATGTTAATAGAATAAAAATTTAAAAATAATTTAAAAAACACACAAAAATGCGTCACACAGAATACAGAGAGAGAGAGAGAGAGATGGGGGGAGACCGTTTATTTCACAACTTTGTGTGTTTATACATGAAGGGGGAAATAAGAAAATGAAGAAGGAAATACAACATTTAAAACAATTTTACAGTCCATCATTGAAAATTTAAGTATCATTCAGGATGGAGAAGTTTCTACCAGGATATGTTTATATCTACTAAGGAAATGGATGCTGTGTAAAGACAACGTCATACTAAAGACATCCGGATGCTGTAAAAATAAGACAAGAACCAGATGGATATTAAGCCCCCAACACACACTTTATCCTTCCTTCCTTCATCCTTTTTCATCTGTGGGGGAAAAAATAAGGTCTTGCCTTTGGTGTTTCTATTTCCATAACCTTTTAATTGTGTTTTTCATTTGAGCTGACTTGTAGCCACTTCCGACTATCAATGGAATCTTACGTTGATCCTTTCTCTGGCTTTCCTTCCTCCACTATCTCTCCAACTTTAGACATCATCCCCTCTCCCTCCAGTGTGTTCTCTCTCCCCCACGCCCATCCTACATGTCCCCTTTTTACCCACCTTTCCTCCCCCACCTCTCCTCACCCTCACCCCCTCCCCAGAGCACTAGTCATGCCGCAAATGCTAGGAAGTGCCATTTTAATTTTCTCCACTGTGCGCGTGTGCTCAAGTCTTTCGCTCTCACGTGGGTGTACATGTGTGTGAGCGTGTGTGTGTCTCTCTCTAAAGCATGCCAAGGGAATGGTCCATGTGTACATAGACTCACTGTGCTGTAGATACTGTCCTGCATTGTAATTGTGAGATGCGGCTATAACAAGTTGCTGGGGGAGATGGTGGGGAAGGAGGCAAGGAGCAGAGTCCTCCCCCCATCCATGGCTGTCACATGGCATCAGTGTGTATTCAGACCAAGCTGTGCCCCTTCCAAGGGCAGGACCCCATATTCCTCCTAGTCCCATCATCAGAACCGAGTGGGGAGTCACTCAGAATATCACTGTAAATGAAAGTGCCTACTATCGATGGGGTAAGCAAACAGTATAAGGAATTATGACATGAACGAGGTGAACTAGGAGAGAAAATTTCAGATTTTACTCTCATTTCATGAGTCTGAGGGATTCATATATTTCCTGGCGTTTAACAGGGTGGGCCCTGCTCTGCTGCAAAAATGAGCAGCATGTGTTGAGTAAATCCCCAGAAACAGGAAGGTCTCCAAGTCTCAACTCCCAGTAAAAGAATGATGAACCACTTGGAGATCCTAAGATTAAACCTCCTCTCTAATCTTCAGATAACACTGCATTTGTCCCATGAATTCCCCTGAGCAGAGATTGTTTTCTATTTCAGATAAAATACAGTAAAAGTGAGCAAGGCAGAAAAAGTCAACAGATGCCCAGGCTCCTACCATATTCTGGAGATACTGTCAGAGCTCTAATACAGAGCATTGGCCATAATGAAAAGCAGTTCACTCCTCGTGCTCCTCTGCAGCTGTTTTTCCCGGTGCTCTAGGTTAATATTTTATTTGGTTGCCCACATAAGCCCCGTTCTGCTTCACTGATGGTGTTTGCAGCACCACTCCTCGTGGTAGTCCACTGTCATCCTATGCCAGGCTGCTAAGAATCGCATTATATTCACCTTCCCTGCTCTATTTAAATGTACATCTATAAGAGTCACCTTGACATTAACACTGAAATGTTATCTAGGTCCTTAGCCAAAATTGCTGGGCAACTTGTAATAAATATAGGCAGAAATTTTATGAGTACCACAAAGCTCGGTGTTACCACATCACCAGGATTTCTTAGGAAATGTCTTGCAGAGAAAGCTGGCTCTCTGCATGTAGATATCTTTGTTAGAAAACCAACCATTGCTCTCACTTACACAATAGGAGGCACTGAAAGTGGTTCAGTTCATGAAAGGACAGAGGATTATTTAGAGATTATATTTGAATGTAATCTTGCAGAGCCAAATATGGTATGTCATTAAGTTGGAACCTTGTAAATAGCTGTTACACTATATAAAATGAGAAACTTTGGAACTGGAATAAAATGAAGGAAGGAAGGAAGGAAGGAAGGAAGGAAGGAAGGAAGGAAGGAAGGAAGGAAGGAAGGAAGGAAGGAAGGAAGGAAGGGAGGGAAGGAAGGAAAAGAGGGAGGGAGAGGAGGGAGGGAACGAGAAAGATCTGAGTAGCATTGTTAATTTCTTCTAAGGAATTATATTGTTTGTTTTAGAAGCTTATCACAGCCTTCTTTCATGATTTTGCAGTTTAGACTTGAAACAGAAGGAAAAATTCAGCTTGGGGATGGTTAAGAGTGTTTATAGCAGATTCTGACACTGGGGAGAAAACAGATTCTCGTCCAAGAAGGTAGCTAGTAAAATAAAGGGAAGGTGAGCCATATTCCTATGCAGCATCAATTTATTGACAATCAGGGATTTCTCTTAAAAGTTTGGTCTTCTTAGTTCAAGAATAAAAGGTTATCATCTTTAATAATAAGCATTCCCCATAAATTGAAGAGGCAGTCACACACTTAAGTGTGTGACTTTAGAAAAGTACACGCTAATTTAAAGATATACAGGAAGAGAAAAGTAGAAGGAGTTACACTGGATGTTGTTAAAAGTTGGATGTTAGTATTAGTTTCAGGAACAGATCCTCATGGCATGTCACAGGCTTTAATTATATGCCTGGCTTTCTTGTCTCCACTTTATCATAAGGATAATATCTTGGTTTAATGGGAGGAACTTCTCCATTGAAATAAATGTCTTTGCCATGTCAGCACTATGTGTTCCCTCAGTTTTAATATAACTGACCACATATTAAACATAATTAAATATATATTTAAATGTGATGTTTGCCTATATCTCTAGCAGGATCTGGGAATTTTAAAAATTTGCTTCTGGCTCCTGTTTCAGAGAAAACATTGGCCTCAGAAATCTCATAGGATAGAAACTGTTCTCTAAGCAGTGTGAACAATGAAGGAAAATGTAGTTAAGAGAAAGTTCAGGGAAAGGTAGAGCCAGAGGACTGACACCAAGAATTCATTGAGTCTCAACATAAGACTTCTCAGCATTTAGTTAATCATATTGGACTAAATTCCTTCAAGAATCTTGTCCCTTGGTAATCAAATCTTGAAACCCTGCACTGAGAAACACCAACTGGTTGGAAATAATATACTGAGAGGAGTGAAATGCATCAATTAACCTGAGTGGCTAATATATTTAATATCCTTTGTGGACAAAATAAATCTTCACCATTCATAAAACAAAATCTTTAGAGCCAACTTTAACAAAAATAGAAATGACCTGACCCAGGGCGCTTCCTGAAGAATGAGAACTATCCAGGGATTTAGAACTGCAGAATTGAAATTATGCTCTGTGCAACTGTTGAGCAAAAGGTTTTGCCTTACTGGAGAAAAAGTCTTGCTTATTTTGAGACATAAAATCCCCCTGTCCTAAAAGAATTAAAGCTTATAGAAGAGCAGATGTGTTTTCTGTCAGGAAGGACTGCCCCATTGACCTTTGCCTTCTCTTCCAAGTCAGACAGACTTTTCGCTTGCCATGGGCATTTTTTTTTTAACTACACAGTCAGACAACCGGGGCTATTCATAGAGACCTTGTAAAAGTACTCGTGATTTTCACGTTCTTGGAGGACTGAAACAAAAATCTGTTTCTCCTCCAAAAATGGACTTACCTCCTTTGCACACAAAAGCTAAACTCCTCAGCATGAACTTGTTTGAGTTATTACTTTACCAAGTTGTGAGCTTCTTGCATCCTCCAGAGTCTCAGATTCCATCCCTGAGTTGGTTGTGGTTTCACTGTTTCTATTGGCTAGTCTCCCTGGACTTTTCATTTCATTCTTTGCAGGGCTTGAATTATTTGTGGAAAACAATAATATATATGTGTGTGTATTTTTGCTTTATCTTATCTTTATAGATGCTATATTTACAATAATGTATGTATTATAAGACAAATTAAGAATGATGTTTTGAACTTAAAAGGAAGAAAAGTACTGAATTTGGTTGTTTAGAAAAAAGATCTATGCTCAAATAGAAAAACATAGAGCCCCACTTTTTCCATTTTGTAATTATTTACTTAAAAGAAATTTGCTTATAGACCACATTTAATGGAATTAACCACGTCCTCATTTTTCTTTTCATCCTCATAAACCTTGAGCCTGCATTTAGTCTTGGTTACCAATAGCTATCATTTTTTAAGAGAAATGTAAGTACCATGCTATATCTGACCTGCATAAACTATTAATATTTTAAAGACAAATGTTAAACATACCACAAAAATGGTGAGATAAGACCCTGATTTAAGAAACAAAAATACAATTTAGAAAAATCCTCCTTCTTGCTTAAATGTTTAGACTATTTCTTCTCCAAAGACTGCATTTGCCTCAGTGATGTAAATTTTCCATCATGGTTGGCATAATATCTGTAAACATCTTACTAAATGCAAAATGGAGTTTACATTTATGTGCATACTAGCAGAAAAGAAGTAAACTATTCTCATTTGCATGTAGCTATGCTGTTCAAATGTAGCCAACCGAAATTTAGTAAAGAATTTGTTTTCACCCAGCAATGTACATCACTTTTCTCTTGGCAAGGAAGCCGCTGTTAACGTTGGGTTTAGGTTTCACATTTACACCAGCGAAAATGTTTACGAATATTATGGAAAACTTATTTTAAAATCTTGATTTCTTTTCAGCACATTTACATACTGCGTGCTGATTAATAAATTAGGCACCAATCATGTGTAAATCAATGTAAATCACTAGTTTATGTACATAATATAAACTATGTAAACTTCATTTTTCATGCAGTGCACCCAACTACTGCTAAACCTATGATTCTTAAAGAAAAAAAATCAAATAAAAATAAATAAAAACCAAAACATTTCACAGTTCAGAATAGGAAGAATTGTGATTAAAGCTCCAAACAGGAGGTTAGCTCAGGCAAAGGAAGCAGACCCACATGAACAGCTAAAGGTTTATATTCTGTTCAAGTCACCTTTCTGGTCTTTCAAGATCTAAGTGGAGATTGTCCCAACTATTGCTGTAGTTGCCTCACCTGACCCCAAAGCTAAGGAAGTAAAAGGAAAGAGAGAGAGGGAAGGGTTTTCAGGGCTATGTGTCTGCAGTATCCACTCCCGGGTATCTTCTTCTTCCTTCTTTCTCACCATCTAAGATGTCTTATTTAAATAGCTTCCAAGGAAGTGACCTAAACCTTGATGAGCAAAATATTACTCAGTTTTGATTTTTTATTCAACAAAAGCAGTGAGAAAGCGTCTTTGTCATCTAGAGTCTAAGAAATTGTGCAACATAAAAAGTATTATGTCTTCGAGAAGTATCTTGCTGAGTCACTCTAAGAAATAACTACCTTTACTTTATCTGGTAGCCTAATGTTTCCACACAGTTATCCTGAATATTGCAAGTGAGGGACTGAATCATTTTAATTGGGAGTTATCTCTCTCAGGCATGTTCTCTTGGAGTCTTTTTGAAGTATCTGACATGTGTAACAGAATGACATATACAATATGAATAACTGGTACATTTAAAAAATCATCAAGGAGATGATTTTAGGAAACAAGCAAACTTTCTCCAAAGATTCATACAAATTTTAGGTCAAATTAACTTCAGACTTCAAATGCACTAATGTACCTAAGAGAATAAACAGAAAAAAAAAATAAAACAGAGAAGAAGGAGTTTCAAGGGCTCATGTGTCTGTACAACAGACTCCCAACTGTCTTCTTGGCACTGTTTCCTCATCATCTAAGATAAATGACAACTTTAAAGTGAGGTAGAAGGTGGATTGAATTGGGATTCAGGAGAATTGGGTTCTAACCCCAGGTTTGGCCACAAAAAAGCTGTGAGACATTGGCAAACCATTTTACCTTCCTGAGTCTCGGTTTTCTCATCCTGAAAGTGAAGGATTCAGGTGACATCTCTAAAATCTCTTTCAACTCTAACCTTTATTCTGAATAAGAATTTAATATTCACTTAGTGCTGTGCTCAGCACTGGTTTGTAAACAGCAGCTGTTTGTTATCTCTAGTTTGGTCTCTGTATTCTCATCACTTCTTAGAACTATCATTCTACCACTGTCATTTCTAAAGCCAAAACTGTTAGAATACAGGGACTCTGGACTGGTTCTGCAAATCTCTTCTGATCAAAACATTTCATCAGTGTAGAGAAGGGACACATTCAGATTATACTAAGGACATTGACATAGCTGGGTTTGTTTCCTTGTTTATAATATTACAGAACCTAAATGTGGAACTATATTCTAATAACCTTTCATAGGAAGGAAAATAGCCAGACAGGGTATTATGCATGTAACAAATGAGGACATTGTGCATAAGAAAGGAAACATTAGTTTTCTCTCATCCTGGGCCAAGTACCTCGTTACAGTAAATGTGTGTCCTTGGAAACTCTTTGCTTGTGCTGATGGCGGTAAGCATGTGGTCCCAGGCAGGTTCAAAGGCCAATCTGTGAGAAATGGGCAAGACAATACATTTTGTTTTGGAAGGAATTTATCATGGGATAAGTTTTCCAAAGCCTGAATTATAGACTATGAAATAAAACAAATAAATGGAGAGAAAACAAGTATCGTTCTCAAAAAGTACAAGTCAATTCTATTTGAAAAAGACAAGCTGAAAATAAAACAAAAATAAACACAGTTTAGGAGATTACAGAGTTGAAGACAGTATGAGTTGTTGTGAAAGCCAACATCAAATGTGAAAGTTAGGTTCTCTGAGAAGAGGGTGAGCAGAAAGGATGATTTCTCAAGCAATTAATAAGGAATTACTTGCTTGTGCCATGTTCTAGATGCATTGAGCACAGAGCCTCTTGTCCCAAGCCGTCCTAGAGGCTCAGGTTAGCATCTTTCCAAATTATCCTTTGACTTTATTGCCTGAAAGAGCAGAAGGCATTGGAGTCTCCAGACACTGAAGAGTAGGGTCCAGTCATAACTTCCCAGCAAGCATATCACTTTGTGTAGGTAAGGATATATGACATGCTTAGAGTACCCATGAAGCTCTCTCTAAGTGGGAGAATGGCCTGTCCATGGGACAACTCCCCATTTTCAGTTATTTCATAGGTGCCTCTTTTTGGGCAGTGCTCCTGGATCTACTGCTAAGCCACGTTCTTCTCTGCACAAGCCCTCCCTATGTAAAGCCAGGCACAGTACAAATCTGCTTCTTGCAAGTGAAGAAAACCCATGGAAGTCCTAGCTTCATGGCATGCTGCAGCAATCCCGAGCTACCGGGAGCCTCTTTTGAACCCACTTCCCTAAGACGTTGCTCTTCACCAGAGAATGGAAATTGTTCATCCTGGTGTACTGTGGCCAAGTTCTGCTCCCTAAGTATTTACTTGGAGGGGGGAAGTAAAGGGAAGAAATTCAGGGAGAGAGAAGCAAAGGAGAACAACTTCCAACTTCATCTCCCAAACCTCCACCCCTTCCTTATCACTGCTCTACTGAAGGGTGTATAAATCCTGCTCTTGGTTAGAATTCTCCTTATTAACAGTGTTATATACATATAAATATATATATATATATATAAATATATTCCTTTTATTCAGCCCTGTAGACATGAACTGATTTTCCCTTGAAGATACAAACACATGGCCATTTTTTGTTTGGGTTTTTTGTTGTTCAAGGTTTTTATTTTTGTTTATTGGGTGGATTTTTTTCCCTGGGTACTAGCTCTGTGAAGGAAATAAAAAGCGAAGTGTGTGTAAAAAAAAAAATTAAAATTAAAAAAAGCTTTTTTTCTTTTCTTTTTAAATGTATTTAAATTCTGTTTCTCTCTTCTGTTACTTTACACGTATGAATGCTCTGCTCTTCTGTGATCTTAAAACAAAATGAAATAAACGTGAAAAGGAGATGTGTCTTCATTGACCTGAGTCAGTGATCTTGTGGTTGACTGCACTGCTTCTTGGAGGTTTTCGTGAATAAGATAGAAAATGAAGCCAATGATAATGAATATCATGTAAGCGAAGGGCAGAAAGAATACTGAAGAATCACTTGAAGCCATTCTAACAATGCTGCTTCTGTCACAGAAGGGAATGTGGTATTTACCATAATTTTCTTCACCTAAGCAAAGAGATTCTGTGAACGCGTTTTTTTTTTCTTTTTCTCCCTGAAGGGACCAAAAGAAATAAGTATAAATTATCACTGAAACGCTGTAAGTAAAGCATTGAGCTATTTATGATTGTTAGACTTGAGTGTGACCTTGGGTTATGATACCAAAAACATTAGAAAATATACCGTTTCTTTGAAGTCTTCATAGTAGTGGTTTTTTTTAAGGGTTAGTTTTAATGAGATGCTACCTCATAGCAGTAGAAGGACCTAAGGTAACTTCTTCTACAGCCTCCTGTTATTTCTACTTACAACAATGCAGTTTGTTTTCAATTACTGCTTCATGAAATGTTTCCAGAATCTCTATAGAACTCCTATTGCATTACACAGGGCACACAGAAAGAAAATAAGAAATAAGCAATCTATGGTCCAAAGAGGTGAGTTTGGCTAATCACACAGCTGAAGTAACTGGGAGCATCTGAAGTTCTACTCTTAGGAGTCAAATTGGTTTGAAACACCTCCATGAGAATTAATCCCAAATTGGGGTGGCTAGGGGATGAATGGGGGAATGAGCACTCATGATCAGCTTTAATAATGGGAAAAGGATCTCAAACAACCAAAATTCCTGGACTTCTCTGGCTCAAAGAAGCAGATTAAGGGCTCAGTCTCTCCACATTTTGAATTTTATATATTTAAAAAAAAAACTCTGAAAATGCTCTTCTGCAATGAAGAGCAAACCCAAGGTTAAGGACACAGGTCAAGAGCAAACTCTTTTTCAACATTAAGGTTAAAGGTCAAGAGCAAACTCTTTTTCAAACTCATGGTTAAAGACACAGTCCTCAAACAAGACTATTCTCACTTCAAACAGCAGCTGCAGGGTTGGGATTCTCAAACCACTCTCATCTCGGATCAGCTGACTACAAATCCAGTGTTCTGACTACCCTTTAGGTTCAATAATTTTCTAGAATGACTCACAGAACTCAGAGAATTTTACTTAGGATTTCAATCTCACTACAGCAAAGAATACAAATCAGAACCAGTCAAAGGGAAAGACATAGGGTAAGGCTGAGGGAGTCTCATACAAGTATGGAGGAGTTTCATTGTCCTCTTCCTGTGGACTGAAGAAGTACTAACTTTCTAGCACATTGATATGTGACAACAGAGTATCAATAACCGAGCATCTAGGTTTTTTGTTTTTGTTTCTAGATTTCATTACCTAGGCATGATTGATTGAATGTCCAAGCCCCCATCCCCTGCCCAGAGGTCGGGCTGATACCATGCGATTCAATGCCCCAGTACTGAATTACGTGGGTAGTCTTTCTAATACGTGCAGCTCCCATCCTGTCATCTGGTTAGCATAATCTAGAGGCCCACCCTGAGTCATCTTATTAGTATACACTATTAGGTGTGGTCCAAAGGGCTCAACATGAATAACAACAACAAAAAGAACTTTTACTTGGAAAATCCTAAGGAATTAGAGCTTATCTCCCAAGACTTGGGGACAAAAGCCAGTCAATCCTTATTATATACTTTATATTACCACTCTTACAAAAAAATTAGTTGGTGTCTCTAAGTTTTTGACCATGGCATTGATTTTATTTCTCTTAAGCCACAGATGCTTCAGGGTTGCAAAAGTCCACACCACCTTGAGACTGCCATCTTTAGTGCCTCAGAAGAAATCATTTCTACTGTACTTCCATTTTAGACTCCCTTTACATTCATCTATTTTTAAAGTATGCCTAAAACAGCATGTGAGAGCTCAAACAAAAGTGAGCTGTGATTCTAAAGAAAAGAGTTTTGCAAATATTTGTCAATAAAGAATTAAGTTGTATTCAATTCAACCAACTACACTAACCACTACACCTGAAATTCTTTTCTATCATCAATCGCTGTAACCTCCCCCATAGCTGTAGAAGATACCTGAATCCAAATCTATGAAACAAAAAAATGTATCTCTCCCTCACCTGCTAAAAAGAAAATTGTTACACAAACATGGAAAACATGCTTGCCTCTAAGCCCAAGACTAAAGTCTTACTGGTTGTTCGTATGAAGAGGAAATGGATTTCTCTTCACTTTCCTTTTTAAATTATTCTCTTCTATTTCCTAAACAGGCTGCTGGCCTATTGGGATAAACTTTTACCAGTCAAAGTTATGTCCTGGTCAATGGATTTCAAACTGTTGAGGATCTACGGTGAGCCCTAGGGACTGTGTCTGAGAACATGCATTGAGGACATCTTCTAACTCACCTTTTACAAACCCAACCACTCTCAGGTGCTACTGAGAATGTAAGGTGCTGCTGATTTGCCATGTGCTTTTAAAAAAAGAAATTAGTTTTTATTCTAGAAGGCAGTTCTCTAGAGGGGTTCTCTAGAGGGACAGAACTAATGGAATAGACATGTATATAAAGGGAAGTTTATTATTAACTCACACAGTCGCAAGGTCCCACAATAGGCCATCTGCAGGCTGAAGAGCAAGGAGAACCAGTTCAAGCTCCAAAACTGAAGAACTTGGAGTCTGATGTTTGAGGTCAGGAAGCATGAAGCACAGGAGAAAGACATAGGCTGGGAGGCTACACCAGTCTCTCTTTTCACACTTTTCTGCCTGTTCATATTCTAGCTGTTCTCGCAGCTGATTAGACGGTGCCCACCCAGACAAAGGATGGGTCTGCCTTCCCAGCCCAGACTCAAATGCTAATCTCCTTTGACAACATCTTTACAGACACACCCAGGATTAATACTTCGTATCCTTCAATCCCATCAAGTGGACCGTCAGTATTAACCATCACAGGCAGTGTGAAATTTGGACTAGCCTTGTTATCTTTACTCACTATTTTTACTTACTATCTTTATCATTTTACCCTCCCATGCTGTCCCTGCCTGGTTTCCCAGATCAAATTAGAAATTAATCTTACAGCAAAGACCCCTATTTCAAAAACAAACGAACTAAAAACCTCTGTCTCAGGTTCTGCCTGCCCAAAAAAGATGTTTCTACTAGTTGGAACAAACATCAGAAACTTGGAGACTAACATCGTACTTGGAGACTAACTCTTCTTGAGTTTCTTGATCAGAAACTCAGAAAGTGGGAGAGGATGCTGATCAGGTTAAGAGAAATACTGCAGTTCCAACCCTGAGCAGCCTTAAGTAAGAGACATCAGAAGCTTCCAGGCAATTTTCACTGAAAAATAAGTGCCACAGCACTACCTCAGCTCCTGCACCCACAGACCTCATTCAGAGATCTTTATTGTATTTACCCTTGGACTCTAAATCCTTGGACCATGAACATTCCTCTCCATTTTCTGGCTCTTACACAATTAACTCAACTGCACTACTGAGGTTTTTCCTTATTCCTAATATATAACCCCCCAGGCTCTATACTAACAATCATGAGATTAGAGAGCCTTCAAGTAGCATTGATTTACCCAAGTAAATTAATATTTGGGCCAATTCTCAAAGAAAAACAAAACAAATAAGACTCCCAGAATCAAGATAACTCACCAGGAAAAAAACTGAGAACTCCTTCCAGATGAAGATATTCGTAGGTGCAAGAGAGTTGAGTTGTACATTTGAAAATCGTTCCTTATAAATATGCTCCCGAGATCTAGTCAGCCTCTTCACTTAGCCCTTCCCCACCAGCTATACTGCCCTGAACCTATTTAACCAGGCCTGATCAGTCACGTAGCCCAGCCAAGAAGTAAGTGAGTCAACATGAGGCATGGGCCATACACATTCTATACACATGGCACTCCCAGGACGCAAAGGCTTCTCTGTCTAAACCTCACTCTCACTGCATATCCATGTTCTAAGACTTGGGGAATCTGTCTCAGGGTATAACCAGTGACATCCCGTGGAAAGGCACAGAGCTCTTGTTATGCATCTGCTACTTCTTTGCTTCACAAACTCGATTTTCCAGTGATAAAACCTAAACCAGCCTTCCTATTCTTGTTCTGAAAAGATAAAATATTTATTCTTAAATAAACATACTGGTACTTTTTCCCTTTTCAGTCTTAATTTGTGATGGTATGATGATACTTTCAGGAAGACAAACTATTTGTTTACCAACCAGTTGGACTGCCAAGGATCCTACCTACCAAATTCTATCTTACATCCTAAATGAATATTTAAAAGAAATGAAACATGAGAACAAAAAAGAGTTAGTCTCCAAGTACGATTACTGTTAACAATACAGGCATGCAACCTCAGGGCTGCTGCAAACGGAAACTGTCGGCTTTCCCTGTTTAAAACAACATACATAGGCAATAAGTTTCTCACCTTCTTAAAGTCCTTTTGAAAATAAAAAGTAATACAGCCAGAATTAAAAAAAAAATCTTGGTGGTTACAATCACTGTTTTCATTAACATTTTAAATGGTTATTCTTAATGGTACATTTAACTAAAGCTAACTTATCCATGGGAAGAGAATGTAGCCATTAAGATCAGCATCCATTGCACAAACTGAGGCTTCACATTTAGTGACGCATGATTATAACACCAAGTATATTACAAGCTAACAGAAGACTCATTGGCATTAATTGCTGCATTTAGTCCCACTCAAAACCTTCTAGAACATTTGCTAAATCTATCATTCTTTTTGAAGTAAATACACCCTAAAATATTATTACCTAAGTGACAATGGAACTAATTTGAGATGAGCATGTGTGTTGCAGTGAGGAGAAGAAGAGAAAGTAATGATGACAACCCTGGACAATTTGATGATGGAAAGCTGCCACCTGTTACATGGCGCAAAACTCAACTTGGAAAGGGAGGGTCACTGGGAAGTGTGTGGCAGCTACTGATACAAGGTTGCTTCACAATAGTTAA